CATCCCTTGGTCAAATTGTTATCGATATATTCCCTGAGTGTCTTCAGCTTATCAATTGATATTGAATAAATTGAGATGTATACAGGCATCTTGTCTTCCTTCAATATTATCTTATAATTCTGTAGCTTGTGTTTTAATAAAGCCTTATGAATCTCTGATTTCTTGAATATATGTTTGTATTTCTTGTATTGTTTTAATATCATAAGTTCTTCTATTTTGATTGCGATTTCCTATTATATTATTGACTTTTATATTTATAGAGGAAGTATATTGGCCTTTGCTTTTAATAAAGGACTCTAAATTGAGTGTTCTACATTGTTAGGGTTGTTCGTATTCAACTCCCCTTGGTATATGTTATATCTCACGAACGCCTTGAATGTATTATTGTAACCGTTTTTACACTGATCAAATATCACTATTTCTTATAACCAATCTATTCTAAGATTGTATGCCTTCAATTATAGTATTTCTAAGATGATCTATTGTTAGCCCAATGGCACAACATCAAGTTATATAACCTCTAAGTATTGGGTTATATTCATTTGTATTAGTTGTATCTCCTATGAAACGTTTCCATCAGATTCTATTAGTTGTCCGTCAACTAACTACAATTAATAGGATTTTTGTTTCTTTTGAAATGAAACTTCTAAGTACTTTACAAATTCTAATACAATAAAGTTTCCTATAGCCCTTGAATCTATTATAGCTTATTGTATTTATCCGTTTATTTTGATCTTATAGTATATCTATTCTACTTATCCTATAGCATTTAATTACTGAGTAACTTGTTTTTTATTTGTTTTCTTAAATTATTGATTCCTTATCTTTCTTTTCTTAGGGAATCATTCAATTGCTTTTTTATCTGATCAATGGATTCTATAGAATTCCTTATAACAAGTAATCCAATTCATCATTATATAATCTACTAATATTTCTTCCTTAATATATTCTTTTGTTATAAAAGATAATGGAATTCGATAATACTTTTGTTCTCACAAGTCTATTATATTTATACCCTTTTAGTTTTGTAATAATTTGTCTAATAATTTCCGGAATTCTTTATTAATGAAAATCTCAATTTCTTTAGTTTTAATTAAATATTCTTGGAATATAAAGATAGTGTTAAGTTAACCTTTATTGAATTTAGGTTTGAAATTGCCTTTCTTTCCTTTTATCTTTTTACTTCGGCAATCCGCTATCTAATGCTCTGCTTTTCTATATTCAAAGTATAAATGGTTTTCTTACCTTCGTCTTTTCTTTAAATCATTATTCTCGTTCTTATAGTATATAACATTTAGTTTCATAAAATCCTTATATCTTTATAAATTGTAATATAATCTATCCTCATTCTTTCAATAACACTCTTGCTTATTTATCTACAACTTATATAATTGTTAGATTTGTTTATATCTATATAAACGGTTATCGGTATTGATGGAGCTTTTGATTAATTTATTTAAATTATTATCCTTCTTTTCCCTATCAAATTCCAAATGTACTTCTAATTTGAATCCTTTATAATAATTATTTATAATAGTAACCTTATCCTATTTAATTATTCCTATATATCTTTAAAACTTTATAATATACTTCAATATTAACCCTATCTATTTGAAATTAAAGATCTTTTCTTTTGTTACCTTTAACTTATTAAAGTCTCCAAAGATCCTGTGGATCTTTATCTTAAATCCTTCGAAATTATTGAAAATGGTTTTTATAAATTATATATATTCCCTATCGTTATACTCGAAATAGTTGTACAAATATAACTAAATCTATTTACCTATCTTGTCTTTAAGGTATAATACAGTTCAAATACTCTTAAATTCCTTTTCAATAAATTTATCTTGATTGAATCTAAAATAGATTTCGAGTTGTAATAAAAAGGTGTTGAGTTCCTATCAACTTTTTTAATACTTATTTAATAAGGCAATCTTGAGTATTTCGTTAATAATAATCTTCTTAAAAGTATCAATCATTTTGATATTATTGAAGTTGCTTATTAAGATCTATTAACTTCTAAAAAAAACTATTGACTATCATACTGACAATTAGTATTGAATTAATACTTGAAACAAAAAGAATGTTTAAAGTATTACAGGAATTATTTTTAAGGTTACATGGAAATGTCTAAAGTTCTTTTAAAGTAATTTAAATTAAATTTCAAGTAGGAATTCAATAAAGTTATAATTAATTATAATTCTTATAATTATAATAATAAAACTAATAATTATTCTTAAGCACAAAGTTTTACATTATAATAAAACCCATTCCCTATATAAACCTTCATACTAAAGTCGACCAACAAGTTAATCAACAAGTTAATCAATAAATCAATCGACTTTTAATCATATAATACTTATCCCGTAATTCCTATTATCCTAACTTGTTCTTTTATTCTAGAACCTAATCCCTTAGAACATTACTAATCCTAGTGAAGTCTTCTTGCTTATTATATTCTGTCTTTTCTAGGACCTACTATCCTGAGAACTATATTTTAGGTTTCTAGGGTATCCTATAACTAATACTATATACATGCCTAAAGCATTTCTTGAGTGCCTAATATCCCTTAGTATACTACAGCTGAATCATTGAGGCCTATAATACTATTATAGCCTATAAGTTAGTGATTCTACAGCCTATTACTAATCCGTTATAACATATTATTCTCTTTATAATATGCTTGAAAAGCTATTGATTTATAGCTTTTATACCCATCTAATATTAATATTTAATATTTGCTTTTTCTTTAATTTTTAATATACTTATTGAAATGTTTTAATTATTTTAAATCTATTTTATTATTTATTTATTTATTAAATATAGATTTAATAGCTTATTCTATAGGAAGATTAGTTTCAATATACTAATTGAAGAGATGGATTTATCCCTGAACCACTAGAAATAAGGGAATAGTTTTACCCTCTCCATTTTCATATATTATTACTATAGTTTATTCTTAATTACCTAATTATATAGATTTACTTCTATTATATTTCTTAGTACTAATAATAACTATTACTATATATATAATTCCTATTATAAAGCTTAGTTCATTAAAATTGTAGAAATCTTTATCCAAAATATTATATTTCGTTTATATATTTGTAATTAATCGAAATCACTCTTTAATAAATTTAGAATCCTTATAGAGAGCTTTTTGAAAGTTATAAACATAATTGAAATATATCTTTAATTTAATTCAATACTTTACGAATTAATATACCCAGAATTTTCCAATATATTTCACATCCTTTAATTTGAGAATATAATTCGTTATATCTTTTATATTCTTGAGTTTAAATAAAAAACCTTTTAAATCTATATCAAGAATATATTGAATAAGTATTTCCTTTTTTAATTCAATTAAATTATAACTTTTTAATCGATTTTCAACTATATTAAATTTACCTTGAATTCTATCACCTAATATAATTCGAGATATACAATAAAACTAAGCTGCCTTTCGAATTGATAATTTTTTATCTGATTCAATAGCTTGAATAACTAAGATTATACATACTTCTTTAAAATAAATTTTTATAATTAATTATAAAGAAAACATATATTGAATATAAAATAATAATTTGAGGTAAAAGTAGTTGATCCATTAATATAGCCGACCCACTGATAAACTACGTTATTGATATATCTTTTATAAAATATTTCTTGAAAAAAGTAAGGTTTTTAAAAGGTTTTCATTTTTCATTTTTTTATATTTAAGAATCTTTTTTTTTATGATTGAGATTCTTTTGTAAGGTTTTTGAGTATTGAAAAGTTTGAATTATTATAGGAATTTATAATTTAATTCCTTTTATTAATTATATTCAATATAATAAGTTTATTATTAATAGTATTGATATTAATAGTTTTAATAGAAGTATATTAGATTTTCTTTTTTGATATTAATAACGATATTTTCTTAACTCGAGTAGGTATTAATTTAGTGACTTTAAAAGGGAATAAAAATTGATATTCTGATTTGAATATAATAAAGATTAATGGGTTTTTCCAAGAAAATCTTTCCTTAGTTTTTTCGTGTTTTTCTTATTCATTAATAGATTATATATATAATAATAGTTATTATTAATACTCTGAGATATAATAAAAGTAAATTAGTATAATTAGATAATTAAGAATGAACTATAATAATAATATATGGAAATAAAGAGAATGAAATTATTCTCTTATTTCTAATAATCTAAGAATAGGTTTATCTATTTAATTAGTATATTTAAATTGATTTGTCTATGAATTAAGCTATTAAATCTATATCTAACAGATAAATAAATAATGAAATGTAAAGTAGTATATATAGATTTATTAGAGAAATATTCAATTTTTTAGAATTTAATAGAGAATCAACTAATAAAAATATTTTTGAAATAATAGATCACTTCTTTAAAATATTAACTAAATAATATTATTTGATTTTAAAAAGAATTTAAATTTCGATGATAAGAGGATTATATTATATTCAAGTTAATATAAAATTACTAAAAGTTTAGTAGCTTTAATAAATTATAGAATATTTCAATCTAAATTATATAATTCAAGATCTAAATATATTATATTTCATCGTTTAAATATTATAAAAAAAAGTTCTTTTTATTAAGTTATAAATTAAATTAGAGAAAGCTTATTGAAGTTGATGAATATTCAGAAAATTAAGTATAAATAATATTTGAACTTGAAATAAGCCTAGTTTTCAATAATTAATAACTTTTAATTGAATTGATAAAGAAAAATAACAGTGATTATATCATTAAAAAATTCTAATTTCAAATATTCAATCATAACTATCTTAGAGTTTTATATTAATAAAGAAATGAGCTAGCTAGGGGCTAAATATATAGTCTAAAATCCCATCAAATTTTTATTTCAGTGGGGAAATAAACTTGTATGTGTCATTTTTCCTGTCACCCGCGAGGGTGGTTAGGAAGCATTACGTTGTTAAGTCTTACTCTTACTTGGTATCAGATATAATTGTTGCGATATGTTCTGGCATAATTCTCAGTCGCCGACGGCATGTTGATGACGCCTCGAGTAGGGTTCATTCGCCCAATACAATAGTGTGGATAATGGTGGACTCTCTTTTTAGGGAATAATACAGATGTGCGGTTTCTTTCTGCTGTCTTAGGAAGAAATGTGGTGGCTTCAAGTAGATTTCAATCTTTCAAGAACATTGTTTTCTGTTGGGGAGACTATAACGAGTAATTGAGTGTACTCTCTCACATTTCCAACTCAAGTTATAGACGATCGAGTCCGTTCCCAAATGAAGAATACGTGATTGACAGCATTCTCAAGTAACGGTTTATCTCAAATGTATTTCACTAAGCTCTATTCCCTTCCCGGTACCTTGCCTAGTGATTCCTTCAGCTGTTGCATAGCGTTACAATATCTGTCGGCACGAATTGCTTCAAAATTCCCAATAAAGTTTGCAACGGAACCCAGTCCAGATTTCCATGGCTTGACTGCATAGGTTGTCCACTATACAATACTCTTGCAAAATGACCATCAATAGCTGGGCTAACAGGGTTCCGAAGTTTCCAAATCTCCACAGCAATATTACTCCCCATTCCAGGCCATCTCAGAGCATTTATACCCAAAGCGCCTGCCACCGGACCGATATCCCCATCATGAACAAAAGTATGACCATACTTCCCTCCTTTAATTGTCCCATTTGCAACATTTTCCAGTCTTGAAACTATCTCTCCAATAAATAATCCCTCTACAACTTGGATGTATTCTTGAACATATGGATTCGCCCTCCAGTAATAATTCCACTCCCAGTCTCCAGCTCTGAAGACCTCATCCGCCATTTCTTGATTTACGCAGTTTGAAGCATTAGTCGGAGAGCAAGGAAGCGAATAACCATTGCAGAGTCGAGCTTGGAAGTTATCTGCGAAATGATCCATTGTCCCTTGCCATGCACTAGAGTCTGCGTTGAACATATTTCCAAGTGTAGTACGTAGGGCTGATGTAGCCGTCAGGTGAGCTTGCCATTCGGCAGTTGACTTGATTTTAGCTAGTGTCGAAGCAATGGCGGGACAAGAGTACCCTGCATTAACTGTGTCGAGTGAACTTGCTTGTTGATGAAGAGAAATTGATCCTTGATACTTGGGCCAGATTCCACGTAGTACCCCTCCAGCACTTTGTTGCGTCAAAGGTGACTCCGAAGAGCGAAAGTAAGTTTTCTCCAACGATGGAGTTGTGGGGAAAAGACTCAATTTACCGGTGGCGCCATACACTCCTGAAAGATCCCGGCCGTGCTGGTAGCCATCTGATAGGCCGCCGATTGTGAGTTGTGGATATTGGCAAGTTCCTGAGATATAGTTGCTCAAAAAAGGATTGTGTGGATCTGTATATGTGCTAGCATGTACTGGAATGGGCTGTTCCAAGGTGGTATCCTGAGGTCCAGCATACAGATATGGGAGAATATCTGAGCAATCGAACGGCACGGTCTAAACAAAGTTAGCAAGTTCACCGACATCGACGCGATATCAATTGACCTCTCCACTAGGTAAGACATTATACATAGTCCTCCTCTGATGTCTTTGTAAATACTCCAGATAGACGAGATCCGCCTTGACACTTCCATTGGCTACAGGTGAAGGAAGTCGATATTCTTGTACTCTTGGATGGGGCATCGAGCAGTAATCGTATGTGCCATATGTTATGTTTGAAGTCGTAGACTTCCCACGAGCCGAATAAATACCACCATACGATCCAAGTGAAGTATTTGTGATGTATGAAGTGTCATTGAGGCCGGTTGGATAAAAACTATCGAAAGCAGATAATGCAATTGTCCCCTGTGATCCCGCCAGCAATGTGAAGAGGGTAAGTTTACCGGCGAACATGATGTGATATTTTGCTGACAGTATCAAGAACCCTGAGGCAAAGCCAACTGTATAGAAAACCAGCCACCACTTCCACTTGGTTATTGGCTTCTGGGAGTGAACCTCCATTTAAACATATATAGAGGGACGGTACAAGGATATAAGATATAAAAATGTTTAAAGTTTCGATGCAAACTCAGGCCGAATGGTTTTCTCTTCCATTAGAACACCAATCAAAGTGGGTGTTTCGACACATGTGTTTCTCCACGAAACCCCACGTGGGAGTCAGTCAGCAAGGAGAGGGGCAACTTCCTTCCAACACAAATACTTCTTTCCCGGCAAAACTCACAAAATTCATATGAGTTGATATTTTCAACGGTTAATATCAGAAATAGCACTCTTTTATATATTGATATCAAAAATATTAAAATTGATATTTTAAAAAAACTAATACTTTTGATATTTTTATTTTGAACATTTTTGTTCTAAAATTCAACTTCTTAATAAATATTATTTTGATTTTAAAAATAAAGAAAATATTATTATAATTTTTACATTAGTATAATGATAAAAAAGTAATATTTTAATCTCAAAGTAGAAAATCTAATTTTATCTTATAGTATATTGAATTTTTATCCTGCGATTCTAGTAAATGAAATATGATTTAAAATATGGTTTTAATAATAAATTAAAAAATCTCATATCGAATACAACTTTAATAATCTTAATTAAATATTTTAATTTTATTAATCTATTTCATAGATTTATTTTTAAAATTAAATAAAATTAAAACCAAATCTAAAATATTATAACTTTTAATCTTGAGATTAAAATAAGAAAAAATAATTTAGAATAAAAATATCATTTTTGAAAAAGCATTTAAAATAAAAATATCAATGATACTAGTTTTAAAAAAAAGAAATACAAATTATAATATTTTTAATATCAATATATAAAAGAGTACTATTTCTAGTATTTACTATACTTTCAATAATATACTATCGTTCTCTTTATAAAATACTTCATATTAAGATATAGACTATAATCCTATAATGATAGAATTAGTACTTAACAAAGTGAACTCTTTGTTATTATAATAGATTCTTTAATCTTTTAATTATATATTGAATAAATCGTTTTGAAAGTATGAATACAATTAATTTAAATCTTGATAGTTTACAAAGTTTATTTTAATCAATAGGGTGTTACGACGGGTAACATTGGATCACGTGACGAGTGTCATGTGACAGGACGTTGGAGCCTTTGGAGCTTAGGATCCAAGGGATCCAAGTAGAACAGAACCATGGGTTTCGTAGAGCAGGAAGGTCTATATAAAGGAATGAGTTTCATTATAATGTAGAGCTTCGTGCTCAAGATCAATCATTAGTTTCATACTATAGTTACGAGAATTGCAACCAGTTACAACCTTATTGAATTCCTACTTGAAGTCTAGTCTAAACCACCTCGAGAGATCTCTAGACACTTCCACGTGACCCTAGAGGCAGCTCCCGTAACATAGGGTTTTAATGAATTTCTTAAATTTTGAAAGTTAATTTTAATTTTTACTTTAAGGTAATTATTTTCAAATAAAAAGGTTTATTTATATTAAAATCAGATTATATTATTTATTTAATACATTTTGTATTATATAGTATAATAGTAAAGCTTTTAATTAAAGAATAAATCGAAGGTGAAATAATATAATTAATGAATAAACTCTTTTTTAGATTTTCGGTTAATATTTTTTATTTATTTTAGTTTTTATGTTTACTTTTCTTTTCCTTTTCTTTAACTTTTATTCATCTTTATAACCTTTTTCTAGTCTTTATATATATACTTTTTCGTTCACCTTTTTTATGATTTATATTTAAAGATCTTGAAATCTTAAAGACCTTTAAGAGCCCTTATTTTCTTTTTTTCTATTAAAATTCAATAATAAATGAGTTACATTTTGTACTGATAATATTTATTATTAATGAAATCAGCGTTTTGTTAATAACAAAAGAGAAATTAATATTATTATATATATAATAAAAATTTGTATGGGGATTTATATTGAATCTCTTTTTGTTTGTAATATTAACTTTGCCACCACTGTGTAATACCTGGTCAATCTTCTCATACCTCAGAAGGGTTAGTGCGAATCCGTACTTCGTAGTGATCCGTCGTGGTCGCGCTTTATTAGCATCGAAAGTCTCAATGAACAATATTGGAATCGTTCTTATCGATGTGAAAGGAGTGTAGAACTATGACTGCTATAAATCTAAGATTACATATCGATCCACTAAAGTCGCATCACAAAAATTGAGCCCGGCAAACTAAGTATTTATCCGACCCTCCATTTCGACGATCACTTTGCTAGAATCCACCTAGATCTCACACTCACGTCAAAAGGAAACTACATCTCATCGAACCTCCAAACACATATTTAAAGGGGTGCACTAGACAATCAAGTGCATTTGGAGTCGGTGTCATAGAGCAAATAACTCATTCTAATTCATCGTACAACGGTAACATATATTGACCCCATACAGAACACAATTTCAGCCCCTCGTCTATCAATTTCTGGATCAAACCTCAATCTTGAAGCTTAATCACTTCACGTCGCCAAATCTTTCCGTCATAACACTGCCAAGTGTTCAATTAAAATCGGCATGCTCGTTGCTATCACCAACTTTTTAATCGCTTTGGCAATATCATGTGAAGCTTATGCTTCCCCAATATCACGTCAAGTCAGCGAGTCACATGTTTCACTGGAAGAATTTGCCCTCCAGAAGCTCCTTACAGACGCATCTCCGATATTTGGGAACTATGCTGGCAATCAATTGAATACCTCGACTTGGATGAGCCGGTATATTGATTCCACAAAGCTCGTACATATGAATATACCAGGGACTCACGATACCGCAACTTGGAACTATTCTCTCGCCACTCAGTCCGCGCTGTCTGGTGTTACATCTTTAGGAAATCAAGTCCCTAACCCACCAGAATATTATCGCTGCCAAAATAGTTCCATTGCAGATATGCTCAACGCGGGAATACGAGCATTCGACTTGAGATTTGCCTTGGACGTTACCAACACCTCGATTGTATTTTGGCATAGTCAAGCTCTTCTATCGCAGACTGCAACTTTGGATGATGTGCTCTTTAGTTATTTTCATTGGCTTGATAAGCATCCCTCTGAAGTAGTCTTGCTTAGCCTTCAGTATGAAGGTAGCACGACGGAATACGGAAGAAACGATGAAGAAGCACAACTCAAGTTGTTCAATATTCTCACATCACCAGCAGCAACAAAGTATCTCTTACAGGCAAAAAATGAATTGGGAACTCTTGGTGACGCACGAGGCAAAATTATTCTTCTTCGCCGCTTCGATCTTGATCAATTATCAGACGCTTACGAGAACGCTTTACCTGGCCTTCATTTCTCACCCGCTCTTTGGGTCGACAATTCCCCTGACATCGAAATTATTTATAATACAGCGACCGATTATACAGCATATATCGAGGATAACTATGAGCCTCAAACTTCAGCTCAGTCAAATGCAACGGTCAATATTCAATCAAAGTACAACGTCACAACGACACATCTGTTGAAAGCAGCAGATAAGTCTCTAGCACCTGATAGTTTATGGTGGACTTGGGCCAGTGGAGGGAAGATCTCAGATGGTGTATTTCCTGAGACCATGGCCATTGGAAATGGGACAGAATATACACCAGCTGGGGGTGTGAATCAAAACTTGATGACATTTTTAAAGGGGATGAATGGAAAGAGGGTTGGAATTGTCATGTTCGACTTCTTTGAGACGCCGGGAGACTTGGTCGAGACTTTACTCAGTCTGTAAACATGCTATACGTTTGTTAGATTGTACCATAATACGAATAGCTTATCAACCATATTATTAATCTTCTTGTCCGAGAATGATTCTACGAAACTGAGTTGTGCCAAGCCGATCATTTTACATGCTCTGATTGAAATTCGATTGTATTTTAATTTAATTTTTCAAGTTTATGTTGTCCCTGAGAGGAACATGAAAAAGATCAAGAAGAGTTTTTTCGAAATAATTCTTTAATTTATATTATATTCGAATTATAGAATCATTCTATATTCTTTTTTATAATTATTAAGTTAATATTTATTTGAGTTGAATAATTATTAATATTAATATAGGAGAGGAGGTATATTATACTTATTTAGGATATTAAAAATCAATATTATAATCTATTTTATACTTATTATATAATTCATTTCAAATTATTAATCTTCTTTACTATTAAACTTTAAAATCCTTCTATTAAAGGAGCAATATTAATAAAACAAAATGAGAATAAAGATAATAGATTTTAAATAGAATCTAGTTTAATTAAAGTATTGAAAAGAGAAGATTAGAAATGAAATATTTTATAGAATAGAATTAGAATTGAAATCGTTAATATTATAAATAGGATTTGAAAACCTGAAGATTAATAATTTAAAAATGAAGATATTTTTATAATAAGATAGTAATATATTAACTACAAAATTAATATATTAGAAAGAGTTGAATAAAATAGGAAGGGATACTAGAAATAAATATAAGAAGTAAAGAATTATAAAAGTTGTAATAAAGTAAATGAGAAAATTGAAAGGTTTTATAATATACGGTAATAATCTCATATAGTATCATTTCATATATTGATACCTCAAATATCAAAAGTATTAATTAGGGTTTAGTATATACTATTTCAGATTGTTTTGATTTTCAAAATATTATTATTTTAGTTTCAATTTGAAAAGTGTTAGTTTGATTTAAATTTATAAGGATATTGATATTCTGATTTTTGTTAGAAGTGTTAGTATAATTTAAATTTATAAGGATATTAATATTCTGATTTCAATTTGAAAAGATTAATCTAATTCAAATTTATAGGGATATTAATATTCTAATTTCAATCAAGAATATAAACAAGAATAAAAAGAAAAAGAAAAAGAAAAAGAAGAAGAAGAAGAAGAAGAAGATTAAGAAAAGTAAGAAAAGTAAGAAAGTGTTACGAAAGCTGCCTCTAAGGTCACGTGGAAGTGTCTAAAGATCTCTCGAAATGATTTAGACTAGACTTTAAGTAGGAATTCAATAAGGTTGTAATTAATTATAATTCTTATAACTATAATAATGAAACTAATAATTGTTCTTAAGTACAAAGCTT